ATATATATATATATATATATATATATATATATATGTATATTTAGACATTTCAGTGTGGAAAAGTTTAGAGTGCATGACTTTAACAGAGTATTTCTACACTGTGGTATTGGTACTTTTACTACGTAGAAGATGTGAGTACCTCTTCCACTTCTGGTCCCAAAACCTCTGTACATGAAACCAGAGTTTCTCCTACTTTTATATTCATTTTTCATAATCTCTTCTCAGTAATATCTGCATATTCCTTACATGTCATGTTGCCTTCGCTGTTTATGGTACAATCTGATCTTTTTATTGTATTTCTGTAGTACCCCTCCTGGGTGGACCTATATTGCCTTTTTAATTTGGTTTCCAAGCCTTGCCCAGTGATCCATCATTGTACTGCATTGTATTTGTGCTCCTTGCGCATGAATCTAGATGATATTATTGCTGTTTATGATCACTGAAGTTATCACATCTCTCGAGTTTATCGTACATTTCTTTCTGCACAGAGCCAACATGTATCTGTGTTAGTGTACAAGAAGCAGCCTCGCTCTCTTTCCTTCAGCAGGAGTCCGGATCTCTGATGGAAAACGCATTAATATGATTAAGTGTCGCTCCACCTGCACGTTTTGATGTAGTTCTTTCTATGCGTGACGTGTCACGAAGTTCAGTGTTAAAGTACATCACGTACTAGATTCCAACATCTCGTCTTCAACATCTCATTCGTCAAAACCCTCCCGAACACGTTCATACAGACATTTATCAGGGAATATAAAGACAACACTTCAAATACAGCAAAAATATTTAACGTTTTGAACATCTGTTTGGTGTTTATGACGTTTTCCCAGAGTTTGTATACGAGTCTTGAACTCTCTGGATGAGTTTAAAAGAGAATAAAAGCGACAGAGGATAAGAGAAGTGATTTCTCAACATGTTTTTGGCTGATGTTGATGTTTCACCGACACCCATCATGATCCAAATGTCTTCATTTCTATTGGTTTTAAACCGGACATTAATGCTTCAGTGTGTAGTTGTTCTGCTATCACTTGAAGTGGCAGAATCTGAATGTTTCCACCATCATGTTTAACTAAATATTACAACGGTTAACCAGGCTTTAAAGTTACATCTATCCATTCGGTAGTAATCTCTACGATTTATCCTTTAGGTTACTTTACGCTAACTATTGCAACAGTTTATACACTGCTAACTATTTAAGTAGTACTTAAATCTGTTTTAACTATTTACCCATAAGGCTACTTTAAGCTAACTGTTTCAACCATTGATGCATTACTTTAAGCTAACGGTTAGCTTATCCTGTTGGAGGGTCTCTGGGGGTCTGGAGCCAATCCTAGCTGACTCAATATATGGATATATTGTTTTCAATCAAATATATATACATATTTAATCAAATAGACATGTCTACTTCACAAGCTCTCTGTGTACTTGATGGTATTTTCGGTAGAGTTCATCGAACACAAGTCTGAGCATCAGATCAGAACCTTCTCCAGCTCAACCCTGCAGTGAATCACTGCTGCTGGAGATCCTAAATGGAGCTATAGCTCCCACACAGGATGTTCTCTGATCACATTATGAGGGCATCTTTCCACAGGACCGGTCGTAGTTAATGTCAGATAAGGTTCAGTTTGCAGCTTGTTGTGACGATGATCTGGTGGCTGTTTATTGGCTCATCTGGAGTTTCCACCAGCTGATACATAATACTAGAGGCTGACATGTGTTGGTCATTAGATATTACGTATAATAGTTCTGTCAGTGTTTCTCCTTTAGATGGTTTTAATTGAGCTTTAAGATGATATTTCGTCTTGTTATAGCAGGAAAAGTACAGACAGTAATACTGCATTACGTCTGAAATAGAGCACAGATATCATTAATAACTGTTTTATAACTGGGGCGGAGGTCCACGATAGGAAAACCACTTCCTGAATGCACAGACACATAGGCACATGAACAGCTGGAGTGCTAGATTTACACACATGTGACATTTGTTCTGCTAGTTTTCATTCTTTCATAGTGAAATGTGAGCTGAGGAGGTTTAGTTTGTTCATTAGGTGGAAAACCATGAGACAAGTTCTTAAGACATTCATAACATTACAAGATGCTTTATTGCACGACTGTCATGAATGAATACAATATATTGTGTATTTTAATGTACATTTAGATCAAGAGGCAGATTCTAATTTTAGTTAACATTATTTTACTGGTGTTTAATTTTATAGCAAAGTTTGTTGGAAAATAAAAATACTTCTTATCTGAGTAAATACTAAAATCATGAAGTCAACAGCTTGTGCTTTTTGAACTACAATTGTTTTATTTTTTGACATTGTACTGACCAAAAATAAAGTTTATTAATTGATAAACAGTTCTAAGAAGTGTGTGAGCTTTACCTCGCTAAATAAAGATTCAATGAATTAAATGTGACTTCTGTTTGTGAGCCTTAACTCACATAAAGAGGGAAGAAGTACTCGGATCCTTTACTTAGGTAAAAGCATAAATACCGCATAAAAACATGTAAAAGTATTACAAAAAAATACAGCAAAGTCCTGCAATCAAAATGTCACCAAAGTAAAAATACAAATGTATTATCTATTATGAGCTAAATGTACTAATTCTTATTATGCGGAATTGCTAGTGTTGTATTAATATAGAATATTATATTCTGGTTTTATCACAAAATAATATAAGTGAGTATTTTAGATACCTTGTATGCTAGATTAGATAAGTGGTGTATAACTACATCTTATGTTGTTTATAACTTAGTGTCAAATAAATGTAATGAAGAAAAATACAATATTTCCCTCTGACATTAAAGGAAAGATGTACTTAAATGTATTTAATGTATGTTATAACTGTACTTAGTTCCATTGCACCAGTGGAAACACCACCATCATGATGTAATGTTTGTGAACAGACGAGTGTCGGCTAAATGAAGGGAAGGAGTCGATGTATAGAGAGATAGAGGCCACTTAAACGCTCTAAAAACAGGAAGAGGCTCCACCCGACCTCCTCCTGATGAAGGCTACTCTGTCTTAAAGCCATTCATCCACACTTCCTGTCTGCTAACAATGCAACTTCCTCTTCCACAATTTCCTGCATCCAGCGCTCTGATAGGTCTGCGTCCCTGTGGACAGTGTGATTGATTGTGAAATGAAATTCCTTCCAAGCAGACGGGAGGCTGGAACATATAACCCGTTATTCACTCGCAGTACATTTCTTTTGACAAACTAGCACCGTTAAAAGTATGCAGAACGATCTATGAATAGCTTCACAGCGTGGCTTCTTCTGGCTTTATTAGGTGCAGCGTTGCCATTTCTGATTATCTTCACTCTGAACCCGGACATTGTGTTACATAGACGTCATTCTTATGGAATCGGGTAACTCTGAAAGAGTTTTGAGTTGGTCCACATCTAGCTCAAAGTAGAGTTCTTGTGTGTCTCCTTTGGATCTTTTGTATAACACATCAAGGTGCTCTGCTGAACTTAAAGTCATAAAGGCACCAGTCATCCTGTCAGACACAGTGAATCCACTCAGCTGTATAGAAGGAGTTCTTGATTTGAGTGGAATTGCTGCCGCTGCTGTTACACTTTAATGTAAGCGGTTCAATCAAAGTTAAAGAGGAAGTCGTTGTTCTTTTCCTCACCACCTCTCAGGCTCTCTGTGTTTTCTTCTCAACAACTTGATCAAGATGAAATGATTGCAGCACTGACGGCTTTTTTTTTCATTTTCCCTGTTTTCATTTCAGTGGAAGCTCCTCAGTCTGAAATGAGAAGAGGAATGGAAGATCCACAGTTTAGAGATCGGTGTCTCGCTGCCACTCTGCATCCAGACGGAAGACATCTTTGTTTTTCCACAGTGAGTAAAACGATACGACAAAGTTAAAGATGTCTCTGGTTAGTTAGTCTTAGTTTAGATGTGTCTGCCATCGGGAACAACTACTGACATCGATTACTAGTCGATGAAAACATTCTCCTCACTCGATTGGGTAAACATGGCATAACTAAAACAGACAGAAGATAGCGAGTGAGCGCTGAAGAAGAAACGCTTAGAAGAGTACAGAAGTCAAGAGAAAGAGTTACGTTGTGATGTATCCGTGAGGAGGAGAGTTTAATGTTAGAAGACACTAAAACTGATTATATTGTATTTCTAGCTTTTGTTTGTTATAGCTTTACTGTTTGACTACTTATTGTACTTGTTTGGTTTCTCCCCGTGTGGGACTAATAATGGATCATCTTATCGGTCCTACACTTCGTACACTGGAAGATGGGTTTTCTGGTTTAGAAACTCTAGATTTTCCTTCAGTGTAGCTGGTTGAAAACTGAACATTTGCTATAGTTTGGTCTGTGACTCTTTATATTTTTCTGTATATGCCCCACAATCAAAAGGTCTGTCCACCACTGAGCTAAAGAGACAGAAAGACGTCTTTCAGGAGCTGGTGGAGACCAAAAACAGAGCTAAAAGAGAGAACATATTGGACAGACACCGAATGTGTAAATAAGAAGCTGTTCAACATGTTCAAGGTATCCACTAAGAAAGATACTAATATGTCAATGTTTTGACATGTGAGACATTTTATTCAAAACCACAAAGATCATTCTACGATTGTCTGAAGAAATGGAAACAGAAACTCATCATGTGAGGATACAAGGAAGAACATTTATCTTTCTTTACAACATGTAGCTATATATATATATATATATATAGAATACATTACATCTTTACAACAACATATCGTGGAGTGAGTCTCTGAAGAAGCTGACCCCCCATAGAGCTCAATGTAAAGAAAATGATTCTGAAGATGTGTTTTCACAGTTCATCTTATTTATATTAAACAAATAACAAACATTAAAATCTTTGTTATCACTCTCTTGCCTTTAACAGCCAGAAGGATAAAGATAACAATATACACAACGTAAATAAGCTCTTATTAAATATTCTTACAGTCATTCTACTCTGACTCACCGGATGTAGACCGCGTATCTCAAGCAGCATTATTTATTATATTTATATCTATTTTACAAATGCACCGTCTCTGCATCCAGTGCTTAGCTCCGCCCACGTCAATTGTGATTGGCTTAAAGAAATGAAAGTTAAAGAAATACTAACTTTGTTCCCCGCTGTAGCAGAATAACACGGTGTGGAGCAGAATAACACGGTGTGGAGCCAAATCTCTCTTTAGCGCTGTAATACTAAAGTCCTATTACAGTTCAGGACGTTCAAGTGTTTGGAAATAAGAAGCACTGAAGAGGTAAAGTGAAATATACTCCGGTTGTTCCAACGTCCGCCATTTTGGCTTCCGGGTATAGCTACCGATAGCTACCGATAGCTACCGGGATGCTATCCTCTTCCTGTTTTGGTCGAACGATGGCTCCTTTGTGCCGTAAATGGATCCTTAATTTTCCTTCAATCCCCGATCAATATTCTATTGCCATTACATTGTGCAACATTAACTTCTTAATGACAAGTTAAAGCAAATAAAAATGTGACTATTGACACTTTAATCTGCTTTTTCTAATCATTAGTCCTTTTTACAAAACATACACCAAATTCCAGCTCCTGAAACATAAATATTTGCTGTTTTTCTGAACGTAAACTGAATATCTTTGCCGTTTGAACTGATAGTTGGACAAACGAAGGATTTTCATTTGTAAACTTGTATTTTGGAAAAATACTGACGTGCATTTTCACAATTTTCAGACAATTTATAGAGCAAACGATAATCGAGAAGATGAATTGATAATGAAATAAATACACATTAGTTGCAGCTCGAGTACCTTTTATTTAAGTGTTGTTACTTTGCTGAAAAACATCTTTGTGTTTATTTAAAGCTGCAAATCAGAGAGTCTGACAAACATGTTTAAACTCTTCATGAGAACGACGACGTCACATTAGACTCTGTACACGTCAAACAACTGTGATTTGATCAGACCGGAACAGACCAGGTCCAGGAAACCCGACAGCAGCAGCATTCATGGGTATAAAGAACAACCTTCCTTCATGCCACACAACGTGGATCTCAGTGTTGACGGAAAAAACAACCAAAACCACCCAGACACACATGGACCGTTCCCAGTAATCAGGATGCAGTCGGGCCCTGCGGACAGTTCTTAGGTGCCGGGTCGAGGTCTCTGAAGGGCTCGGAGAGGCGCGAACCCTGCAGACGTGACAGCAGCGTGGTCCGCCGGATGCTGCTGTCCGAGTCCTGGTGGCTGAACCTGGTCCTCAGCGAGCGGCAGCACAGCAGGCTGCCGGCGAAGTCCGACAGCAGGTGCCCGCTGAAGATCATGTAGATCCAGGGGTTGCAGCAGCTGTTGAGGCTCGCCAGCAGGGCGGTGAGCGTCACCGTGGTGTTCTCAGATTCTGCAGGGAAACACAAACACAGATCCATGTCAAGAACCGGTCTGAGGTGATCTAAGGGGTCACTAACCCCCCTGCTAATGGTTTGCCTCTCGAGTAAACAAGAGGATCTACATATTTGGACTTTTAGCATTGAAGATTTCGTCCTGTTGCGTAAATTAGCTGCCAGACGATCCTCCAACACACCTGACGTAGAGCTTCCTGTCCGCCGTGTCGGGTTAAAGCTAACAAGTATTTCTACTACACGTATTTCTCAAATTTTAAAACCTTTTTTTTAGGCAGTTTGTGTCGACTGAAGCTTTTGAATGAATAGAGAGGATCCAGGCGCTGAGATGAACTCACATGTTTGTGTATTTCGAGAGAAAATAAAACTTAAATGGTCAAATGAAATGATTCCTTGGGGATCAGTGATTGGTCGACAGCTGGTTTGTTTTTCCGTCTGGCTGCTGATTGGACAGTCCACACATCCTCAACATGTTTTTGTGCCTTGAATACATTTCTCTCCAAACCTCCTCACTTCCTGTGTCTAAGCTGCTTTTCATCATGTTGAGGTTTCGACTGTTTTGCTGCCAAAGAAAAGCATGAGAACCGACTCGGTGTTCCTCCTGAGATGAGCTCCTGCCAGGTCCAGAAAGCCTCTGAAAGCAGCACCTGGACCCTCATGAATCAGTGAAACTCTCGTTGGAAGCATAATGAAATTCCTCAGGTGGGTGAGCAGCAGCAGCTGCTTCAGGCTGGTTTATATAGAATAAAGAGAATCATCTCCCCTCCGACACATGAGCAATCACACTGCACACATATTTCATTTATTCTTTGGAACACGCAAAGTTTCCACCTGAAATATTAGGGTTAGGGTTCATCTACTTGATGGTTGGTGACATTTTCTCATTTCTCCTAAATAATCAGGTTTATATTAACAGATTATAGATGTTGTTATATGCATTTTATATCATTCTTACATTATATTTAACAGAAAGTGAAGGAACTTTAAATTTGATTGGTTATTGTCCTATTTTGATAATATTAAATAGTGAATAGACAGTAATACGTTTTAATGCACACGTCACCACTCGGTCTAAACGTATAGAACACGCGACTCACCGGCAAAGGAGAAGCTCTGGTCCCACACGGACCACATCTGCACGGTGAAGAACGGCGCCCAGCACACCACGTACGCCAGCACGATCACGAACGTCATCTTCACCGTGCGTAATTTGGCGCGGGAGATGGTGCCGACGCTGCTCACCGAGCCGCGGCCCAGGATCCCGGTCTTGGTGGCCTCTGCCACCGAGCCCACGGTCTTCCTCCGGGTCTTGTACTTGAGGTTCCTCCAGATCGTGCGGCAGATGAGTCCGTAGCAGAACACGAGCACGGCCACGGGCACGAGGAAGATGCCAACCGTCATCCAGGTGATGTACGCGCGCAGCCCCCACGGCTCCACGAAGTGGCCCCAGCAGTCGTACACCTTGGAGCCCGGGTGCACCTCGCTGAGGGAGAAGATGAAGTACTGCGGGAGGCTGAGGACCAGGCTGCACAACCAGGTGGAGCCGATCATGATGTGCGCGCGCTGCGTTGGCTGCTGGAGCGTCTGCAGCGGGTGGCAGATGGCGATGTAGCGGTCCAGGGTCATCATCACCATCATGTAGGTGGAGGCGAACATGCCCAGCACCTGCAGGTGCTTCACGATGCGGCACAGAGAGTCCGGCCCGTAGAAGCGGAAGGTGATCTTCCAGCAGAGCTGCGGCAGCACCTGGAAGAAGGCCACCACCAGGTCCGCGAGGCTCAGGTGCTTCATGAACAGGTGCACGCGAGACGGTTTCCTCCGGGTCCTCTGCATGGCCAGCAGCACGCTCACGTTCCCCGCCACCGCCGCGACGAAGGCGACGCTCAGGACGGTGATCTCGAGCTTGGCCACCTCCTCGTTCCGCCCGAACGGGTCGGTGTCGTTCCTCCTCCCGCTGCTGTTTCCAGCTGCGTCTCCGGAGTCCAGCCGCGTGAAGTTGAACCCATCGCTGCAGTTTCCTCCCGTGATGTTGCAGGAGCTCTCCGAGGAGAAGAGCATGGTGGCCGCTCCTCCTCCTCCGGGCGCGCGGAGCTTTGGCTGTGCGCTACCGTCGCCACCGGAGACCGTGGCTGTCAAACTCCTCGATCAGTCCAACATGTGCGGCGCATGAATACACGAAGAGTAAAGCGAAGGTGAAAAGTCATCAACAAAAAATATTAAATCCACAGTTATTGTTCCGCTCGTGGCGCACAGCGACTCTTGGTTCAAATCCGAGACTGCTGCAGATCCAGCCTCTTTTAAAGGCTCCTAACCCCCCCCCCCCCCCACACACACACACACACACACACACACGCACACATCCCACAACATCACACACACACACAAACACACTTTCTCTCTCCCCACCTGAGATGAAGTGGAGCCTGCAGGAGAAAACCTCTGTGGAAAAAGTCATTTTTCAAATCATTGCTTTAAAGAATTTTGGAGGATAATTTTACCTAAAATGTTAAATAGAAAATATTAAATGAAAAACATTAAAATAGTACACACGTTTTAATTTTTTACGCTTTTGTATTTAAACTTTTCCCATTACGTGATTTTAAAAATGTCCCTTTTTATATATTTTTAGTGCATTTTGAGCTGAATAATAATTTAGTATTAAACAATTTTTGCTTGCTTGCTGAAGCTCGAAGTGATTTCTTTAAATGTCTTGTTTTGTCCGACCAAACGTTAAAATATATATATATATTATAAAAATACAATTAATTAAAGAAAAGCTGCAAATTCTCACATTTGAGAGGCTGGAACCTCAAAATTCTTGTTATTTTTAATTCTGATTATTTCTCTGTTGCCAGCTGATTAATTAACTTCTAAATTCCGCACCATCATTAATAGGGGAACATTCATGTGGTGCATCTAATTAGCATCTAATTGCCGCTGACTGCCCTCATCTGATTTAGCCTTCTCTTCACTCTGACCATGACATACTGTGTGTGTGTGTGTGTGTGTGTGTGTGTGTGTGTGTGTGCTGCATTAATGTGTGTACGTGGCGATAACCTGATAACCTCACAGACGGCGCTTGTTTTCTCAACATTGAGACAGAAACCAAACTGCTGCTCTGCAGAGAGAGAAGTGGACAACTCCTGCAGGCAGCAACACAAAGTTCCAGCAGTTCTCTCCTGAAGAAGCACTTTGAATATATTAACGTTTTTATCTTTTGCATTCCCCCCAAAGAAATCACAACAAACGAGTCAGAAAGATGGTCAGAAACAAAGATGGCGACGGCCAGAAACCAACATGGCAACAACCAAATACCAGGGTAGAGACTGCCAGAAACCAACATGGTAATGGTTGAAATGCTGAACTTGAGGCCTCAAAACATCAGTCCACAAACCAATGGGTGGCGTCAAGGTGACTAGGCCCACTTCTTATCTACAGTCTAAGGTTCTTCATTCGCCAATGCTACACCTGTCCATTAAAAATCGGGCGAGTAGTTTTTCCATTATCCTGCTGACAAAGAAACCGAACCGACCCCATAACCTCCTGGGTGGAGGTAATTAGTAAAACTGTGATGCCTTCCTGCCCTTTTTTTGCTGAGTGTCTGTTTCTCGAGACCTGAACCTGGTCTTCCTGCGTCCTCTGACACTGAAGTAAAGCACTCGCTGCACTCCAAGGCCACAACTTAGTATCTTAATGTTCAATCTATATGCAAGACTTGGCTGAAGGGATTTAGAAGTCACAGAGGCCGACTGTGTTTTTCATGTCAAGTCGTTGTGTGGAGGCCTCGCCAGCTGCTGATGTGGAACGTTACATAATGTGTTGTGATTAAAACAATGGTGGGTAATAGACGGGGCTGTCAGGAGTCCAAATATGTATCACGCTACAATTATGAAGCCTGTCGGAGTCTCTTATTAATGAAACATAATCCAGGCTGGTGCACACGCTGATAAGAGCTCAGATACCGGCTCACACGGTGGATACAAATATTTATTCACGAAGGGGTTTTATAAAGGGTTATGTCACCAAAAGGACTGAATATACTTCTCCTCTTGGTTCGGCTTCATTTAACATAAAACTGACTTTTGCCCCACGTTTTTATGAATGTTTGACTTGTTAAGAGGAGACACTACAGGTGAATGGGATACACTCCATAAATCAGAAAATACTGTCAACAGACGTAAAAAAAATCCATTTCCTGCATGATAAAATGTAGTATAAATGAGTGTGTGAGTGATGAGTGAACAAACCCCTCTGTGTGAACCTTCAGCACACAGAGAGGAATGAACGAGTGAAGTTTGGTGAATGTAAGAGCTGCTGACGTGGAGATTTATCAACAGAGTCTGAGAACAAACTCATTTAGAGGAAACGTCCTTTAAAGAGACGTTTAGTTCCATTAGACATTTAGAGACTCTACAGGTGAACACATGAACTCATAGATATCACCATGAAACTTCACCACTTCATCACTCACATTAAGAAAAATGTTTTTTGTATTACAAGTTTTCTGAAATGGTATGTTTAAATATGCAAATTAGGCATGATGTAATGGTGAATTTAGTAGAAATTTACAAATGTAAAAAGACAAAGTTGTAAAATAAATGTTAAACGTGTAAATATAATTTTTGTGTTTCAGAACGATTACGAGTCATCTAACCCTGAACAGCTTTTCAGTCCTGTCTTCGGCTGTTCACGGTTTTCTCAATTGTTAAATCAGGATTTCAGAGGTTTTTCTCCAACAAATCTCCAAATTCTCACAACAAATCAACATTTTTTCTGACCAAACTGCTTCCAGCTGAATCCTGTTTGTGTGCTTATCCATCTCTACGTCTTCAGGCGATTGCGTTGGTATCGTTATGTGTTTCAGGTGAACCATTGGTTCTGAGCTACAACACCTTCAGGACATGTAGCCTTTCCCTTCAACCAGACTGTAAATCAATCCCTCTCATTGGCCCCGAGAGTTGAGTTCTCACTGTACTTTAATTAACTCTATTATCCCAGTGGGTCTGCCTCCCCGGAGCCCGTTCGGTCCGTTCAATACTCCCGTCATTCAACACTAAGTCAACAGCATCCCGAGGGGTCAGAAATCTTGAGGAGCCAGCGAGAGTAAATAAAGAGGAAATACAGCAGCGAGAGTGAGAACGGATATGAAGTGAACTGCCAGAGACATGAAAGAAACAAAACACGGGGAGAAAATGGCACTTCAAGTTCTCTATTAAGATCAAAGAGGCAGCAGAAGTAAAAGTACTTGTGTTTAAGAGCTGTAAAAAGGCCCAAAGTGGGAGATGCAAGTAGACATTTAAACATATATATATTTTCTTTTTGCATTAAAATGTCTAAAAACGACCAGACATATGTTGTATATATTGTTGTGTACTTCCGTTCACAAACTAGAGAAATCTGTAGTTTTATTTGTTTCATTCGGCACTTCTAGTTGGTTGAACCCAAACAACGACCTTTTCCTCAAAATAACTCTAGTTTTGTTGCCTAAACTTAACTAAGTTGTTTCCTGTGAAGTGAGCACTTTATTTTGAAAACGATGTGTTCATGTAACGAGAGGAAGTTGACTCGTGTTGCTGGAGGAATATTGTTCATAAATCGATAAATCTCGAACCGTTGTATGAGGATAAGTGATCGAAATACAAAAATCGTGTGATTTGAATGAATGTTAGTTTATCGTGATGTACAGTAGATACATATATGTAAGAAGGTACTTTGTTGTGAGTATCCTCCTACAAGTACTGCATCTGTCAGTTGTTTCGTAGCCTTTCGTGACGTACGTCCACACTTTGTGACCAAGGATCAGTTAAAAAGCAGCTGATGATGGATTATTAAACATTCAACCTCGTGAAAGGTCTTTGATTGCAGAAGAACACAAACAGAATTCCAGCAAAAGTTATATTTTTTATCTTCAATTTCTCACATTCATACTTTATGATCAGTGTTTTCTCAGCTGCTCCATCGAGAGACACGTCTTTATGTGACTGTTGATGTTTTGGTTGATTTCAGTGAATCTGTGTGTTTAAGTGTAACTGACAGATTTTGTTCTGTTGCTGCGACACTGGAAAAGAACCAGACACTTCCTGGTTTGTGGGACTCGTGATATTTTGGAAACAGACTTCAGCTGTGTTTACGTTTTATAACAGTTTAATCTAAGGATATATGAAGACTCTGAATGACATACTGTGTTCCCTTACATTAACTCTACCGATCCCAACTACACATCTAACCCACAAACTTAACTTTGCCTTTAATAGAAACCTCGTTTAAATGTCATCTAGACCCTAAAGCAGCCTTGTGAAGAAGTCAAATGTCCTCGCTTTCAAGGTCTGGGTCCTCACAAAGATAGAAGAACAAGAACAGCCGGAAACACACGTCCCACAGGAGGATAAATTAGTCTCTGACACACACACACACACACACACACACACATCATCATCACACACAAAAGGACCTTTCTGAGAATCCGTAGAGGATTTAATTGGTGTGATTTAAGTTTAGCCGCTAGTGCTTTTAGCTGATTGTAGCAGAGCCTTTTTATTAATCATGAAACTATCGATGGACTGAGGAAGACTTTGTGAGAACTCCACAGCTGATAATCTGAAGTGTGAAAAAGCCTCAATTATTTGATTGTACTCCCTGATGTACTATCATCAACTCTTGTTTGGTAACAATGTAAGACGTTACAAAGTAATTTACCAAAAAATATGCGTGTATTTGATTTGCCAAGAAACAGTTTGGGACACAAATAGTGAGATATCAAGGTGCTGGTATGTGAACTTCCGTTACCATCAGACAGAGCCAATTCCAGGCTTTTATGCTAAGCTAAGCTAACCTGTAGCTAAGATGAGAGTAATATCTATACATCTGGTTTGTCTGACCGTCTTGTTTTTTCTTTTTCCGACCACAGCCTCATTCATTTAGACTCTGAGGAAGACAATGAATATGAAATCAGATTAATTCTTGCGTGGAGGACAAATGACGACTCTGGGTTGATTAACACGGAGGCAATTTAATTTAGGAGGCGGGAGATGAGGAGAGAGGACACCGAGGGAGGGAGA